AGGTGAGGCAGGGGGTCGGGGTGCAGGAGGGGTGCAGGGTATGGCAGGGGGCTCAGGGCAGGGGGTTTGGCTGCAGGAGGGTTTCGGGGAGCAGGATCTGGCCTGGCGCGTACCAGAGGCAGGGCAGGCTCCCTGCCTGCCTGTCTGCCCTGCCCCCGCAAGAGGCTGGAACGTGGGGAAGGGGGGGCGGAGGGGATGTGTTTCTGTTGTTTGAGGCACCGCCGCCAGCAGCTCCCATTGGCCGCGGTTCTCCGTTCCTGGCCAATTGGAGCTGCTGGGGGCGCTGCCTGAAGCAACAGCCACACACAGCCCCTCCGCCCCCCCTTCGCCATGTTCCAGCCTCTTCCCGGAGCCACGCAGGGCAGGCAGGCAGGCAGGGAGCATGCCCTGCTCCTGGTGCACGTCCGGCTGGAGCCGCTCTGGTAAACACTGGGAGAGGGTGGGGGGGCTGTGAGGGGCTCGCGGGCCGCAGAAAATCACCCCGCAGGCCGCGTGTTTGAGACCCCTAGGCTAGAAGCATGTGGTGCAACAGTGAAAGACTCAACAGTTGAAAAAGCGAAGAACACTCTTACCACTTTCAAAAAATTTGCATACTTGGCTGATGAATGCACCGATGCAAATGGACATCAAGTATTAAGTCACTGTGTACGTTATCTTGATGTCAGTGGTAGGCCAGTAGATGCATTTCTAGATGTTCAAGTTATAGAAGACACATCGGCTGCATCTGTGACAACCAACATCTGAGAAGAGTTAAATGCTTGACAGTTGGACCCCAAATAGATGGCTGCTTGTGCATTTGATGGAGCTGCAAACTTCTCTGGAAGACATGGTGGAGTACAAGCTTTGCTCAGAGAAAAAAAGTAACCCTAATCTCTCCTATACACATTGCAGAGTCCATCTACTCCAACTAGTGCTAGTATGAGCTGCAGACTCTTCAAAAGACATTAAAAAAGCTATAAATTTAATGTTTTCATTATATTCTTTTTTCAGCAAGAGTCCAAAAAGACTGAATATTTTGGAAAATATAGAAGATACACTGGGACTGAAGTTCAAAGTAGACCAATCTGGGAAAACCCTCTGGCTTTCTCATGAGCGATCCTTGGCTGTTGTTTTAAAATTACTCCAGCTGTTATTACTGGCTTTGGAAAGTATCTACCAAGATGGGATGGATCTAAGTAGTGAGGCTGGTGGATTACTTTTGCTACTACGTTCAGAGAAGATTATTTGCATTCTCCCTCTTGTAAGTCTACTGTTGAAACCACCTTGGTCATTAAACAATGCCATCCAGGCATCTGCTACAATAGTAGTAGATCTTTGTCCAGCAATAAAAGCTACATTTGGATCAATCAGAGAGCTATCCATTGTAAAAGCACTGGAAGAAACAAAGACTTCAGTCCAGAAGTTGACTAATGAAGGCATTTATATTGAATCCTTAAGTGAAGAGGACAAGAAGTGTTTAAGACAACTGAAAAAATACACAGACTTGATTCTTAAAAATCTACAACAGTGACTTCTAGATTCTACTCAACCTTTACGTAGCTTTTACAGATCCCTGTCCTATAAAACACCGACAGTTGAGTGGAGTGAGGCACTACCAGCAATGGGGCTGCTATGTGCTCAGGATAGAATAGAGAATTTGAACACAGAGTGGAATATCATACGACGAATTAATGAAGATTTGACTTCAACTTCTTTTTTATCATCACTAGTGGCTCGACCTGATCTTTATGCTATGTTTCCTGGGATGAAAAAGGTAGGAATTCATCTCTTGCTACTCCCAGTCACAACCGCTACAGTTGAGCGTTCTTTTTCATCATTGAATAGAATTTTATGTTCTGAAAGAAGTCACCTTTTGCCTGATCATGTGACTGAACTAATGAGCACATCCATTGAAGGAATGGAAGTACCGGATACACGAGAAGCCACCAAAGATGAACATATTGCATTCATGAAGTTAATTAACAGAGTTGTGCAAAATTATAACAAGAAACCAAGAAGGATGTAGACGTAGTTAGAAGGCTTGAGTAGCCAACTTTAATTTGTGTGATGATTTTAAAACATGAGTTAAATCTAATAAAATGGTCATGAAACATTTTTCCATTTTTACAGTGATGCCATACAGCTCACCTTTATCCTCATGGTCTCACCCCTCATCAGCCCTGACTTCCCCCCTGTAAATTCGACCCCCCCCCCCCCATTTCAATTCTTGAGGAAAACACTGCACTCGAACATCTCCCAAGCTCCATTCCCCTTGGTGCCACTGTCCAACAAGCCACTGCTCTGTCCTCAACTTAAATGCTAGCTGAGGGGGATCTTCTGGTCAACTTTCCCACCACCTCTTTTTCTTCTTTCTTTATCTATTAGAAGAACAGTAGCATTGCAGTCTCTCCCCTCTGATCAGGAGGCTGGGCAGTAACTATTGAGGCAGGAGCCAGTGCTGCTCCTTGGGTTTGCCAGCAATGCACACTCCTAGGGAAGGCAGGTAATGCTCTTCATTCTTGTGGCCTCCTTAATGCTGCTTATCTCCACTAGCCCAAAGGTTACTTCCAAATCACAGACACAGACCTACCTTTTTATATCCTGGGCCCAGCTTTTCAATGTGGGCACCTTAGAGTTACATGCAGGTCTCCCATTAGGATGCTTACATTGCCTCTTGGGCTTGTAAATGCTAATTTATTGAGCCTAGAGGTTGATTTGAGCACCTAAATGTGGGCATTGGACACCTTGTTAGGAAGCCCACATTTGATAACTGGGCCAGGTGTGTTCCATTATAGTGCTGCTAACTGTGTATGTGCTACATGCTCTGGTGTTCATTGTACATGTGTGTGCAGGCCTAACCTGCCATATTAATAACACATGGGATCTGGGGAGAGTGTTGGGTTTTGAGGTCGGGGAGAGCTGCAGGAATGCTACAGGCACCCCATATAACATCTGGCTATTGACATCTGGACCAAGCTTAGCACCTCTGGGCCAGCCTCTTCCAGCCAGCATTCAAGACTTGGTGGATCCTCATACTAAGTTGCCTGGCTATTGTCTGAACTCTGTAGAAGAGCACATATTTGTCCATGTGACTCCCCACTGCTTTTCCTCCCAGGGTGTGACTAGTGAATGTGCTGTCGTTGAGCACACTGTATGCCACAGACAGGGGTCGGCAACCTTTCAGAAGTGGTGTGCCGAGTCTTCATTTATTCACTCTGATTTAAGGTTTTGCGTGCCAGTAATACATTTTATCGTTTTTAGAAGGTCTCTTTCCATAAGTCTATAATATATAACGAAACTATTGTTGTATGTAAAGTAAATAAGGTTTTTAAAATGTTTAAGAAGCTTCATTTAAAATTAAATTAAAATGCAGAGCCCCCCGGACCGGTGGCCAGGACCTGGGCAGTATGAGTGCCACTGAAAGTCAGCTCGCGTGCCGCCTTCCGTACGCGTGCCAAAGGTTGCCTACCCCTGCCACAGAACAAGGGAATCACAGCAGCAGGATACACGCTTGCAGAAAGCCAGGAAACACTCACAGGGAAAATGTTAGAGCCACTGGTGCCTAGAGAGGGACTAACCTACAGTGCCTCATATGTTGTCAGAGATGATCCTTCTTTGAGAACTCTTCCTCTTTTTGCCCCATGTACCTCTTTGCTTCCAGCACCCTGGTGGCTAGTCCTGATCTGACCCAAAGGCTCTGAGCTTGCTGTATGCAGCTGTAACAATGCGGTTCTGGCGGGACCCAACTGAGAGTGCCAATTCAGGACAAATTGCTTCAAACAGGGTAGTTACAGCCCTAGGCTGGGGTTTTTCCACCTCTAAGACAAACCAAACCAGCCAGACAGTGAAGACTTTGGTCTCATCCCACTGGCTAACCACAAGTCACACAAGCAATTCCCTTAGACACTCCAGTTTCCCAATATCACCACCAGTGCCATGGGGACAAATGGTTATGAAAACCAACACCCCATTAAAAGAAAAAGGTTCTCCTGATCCCACAGGATCAAGCCCCAGACCCAGTTCAATATACAAATCAGATCTTACCCACAAATCACACTGTTGCCAATCCTTTAGAATCTAAAATCTGAAGGTTTATTCATAAAAGGAAAGAGATATAGATGAGAGCTAGAATTGGTTAAATAGAATCAATTACAAACAGTAATAGCAAAGTTCCTGGTTCAGGCTTGTAGCAGTGATGAAATAAACTGCAGGTTCAAAATCAAGTCTCTGGAATACATCCCCAGCCAGGGATGGGTCATCAGTCCTTTGTTCAGAGCTTCAGTTTGTAGCAAAGTTCCTCCAGAGGTATGAAGCAGAATTGAAGACAAGATGGAGGAGAGGCATCAACCTTTTATAGTCTTTTCCAGGTGTAAGAACACCTCTTTGTTCTTACTGTGGAAAATTACAGCATACTTTGCTGAGTTATAAGGCATATCTGCCTTCTCTCCATGGGTCAATTGCATAGCTGATGGTCCTTAATGGGCCATCAAGCAGGCTAGGCAGAGCTAACACCAACTTGTCTGGGATGTTTCCCAGAAGCATAGCATACGTTTGAAATACAGACAGCATAGAGCCAATATTCATAACTTCAACTACAAAATTGATACACACATATAGACAGCATAATTAAAACCAGCAAACCATAACCTTGTCTTAGACACCTCATTTGACCCCTTTATGCAAGATTTGGTGCCACTACAGGATTTTGGTTGCAACCATGTTCTATATAGTCCCAGTTTAAATCAATAACATGACAGCAGCCTAGCAGCATAGCTTCATGAAGCGCAGAGTTTATTTTCTCTGAACTCTGTATGTGAAGTTTTGTAAGATAGCTCTCGCAGCAGCATCCCCATGATCAATAGCAGAGGAAAGGCTGAGCTGGTTGCTGTGTCTGTGATGCTCTGGACACACCTTTCTGTTTCACTTGTGTTTCTGCACTTGGTTGGCTTCAGTGAACTTCCTGTTGTTTTGATTCCCTTGAGTTGCTGGTGAGAGTCTCATCCTCTTACTGCTGGTTTTAGGTGCTGTACAATATTGCAGCAGTGCAGTGCCGGCTTGGGCTGTGGCAGGAAGCTAGAATAACCCTGGAGGAGGCTATCAGACAGAGGCCTGAAGGAAGAACCACAAGCCTGGATGTTGCCCTTGAGTGGGTGCAGGTGAGACTGACTATAAATAAGGTTACAATTTAATCATGGAGGTCGTGTAGGTCACAGAATCCATGACTTCCAGCGACCTCTGACTTCAGCCTCCGATGGTTGGGAGCTGCAGGATCTCCCGCAGCCCGAAGGGGCAGGGAGCTAAGGGGTACCCCTGCCACCGCTGGCAGCCCCCAGAGCTCCAAGCTGTCACATATGGAGGGGGACCCCCTGGAGCTCCCAGCCACCATGGGCGGTGCCATGGGCCCCAGGAGCTGCAGGCAGCAGAGGAATCCTGCAGCTCCCAGCTGCTGCGGTGGCGGGGAAACCCCCGAGCTCCCGGCTGCCGCGGGCGGTGGGGGAAACCCCAGAGCTTCCAGCTGCCGTGGGTGGTGGAGCTCGCAGAGCTGCTGGAGGAAGGGGAACCCCCAAGCCCTTGGGCGGCAGGGGAACCCCCGAGTTCCTGACCGCCGTGGGCCCCTAGAGCTTCAGGTGGCGGGGTACCCTCCAGCCCCCAGCTGCTGCAGGCGGCTCCTAGCTCCTGCACAGCTGCTCCACTTCAGGCAAGTTGGGGACCCGCAGATCCCCATTTTGTCAGGGATATCTTTAGTAAAAGCCAGGAACAGGTCAGGGCTTCCGTGAATTTTTCTTTTTTGCCCATGACCTGTCCATGACTTTTACTAACAATATCGGTGACAAAATCTTAGCCTTAACTATAAAGGTTTAAACCCTGGGGATTTGAGTCCTGGGGATACATTTCATAGGGCCCAAGTTAAAAAGCCTCCACCTGGGTTATCAGCACTCCAAAGATTGGGATGTTCCAGCTGTTCTATCTGCCCCCGCCTGCCACCTGCCTACAGTGCCTTTCCCTTCAAAGCATAGAAGGTGTGATAGCCTGCCAGAGCAATTGTCCATCTACTTTAGTATCCTGTCTCCATCACTACCAGCTGCTTCAGAGGAAGGGGAAAGTAACCCCATAGTGGACAGTTATGGAATAATCTGGTCATAGGGAAAGTTTCTTCGTAGCTGCTGCCAGTTAGGGATCTGCTTGTGTTCTAAAGCAGTGCTTCTCAAAGCCGGTCCGCCGCTTGTTCAAGGAAAGCCCCTGGCGGGCCAGGCCGGTTTGTTTACCTGCCGTGTCCGCAGGTTCGGCCGATCGCGGCTCCCACTGGCCGCGGTTCGCTGTCCGAGGCCAATAGGGGTGGCGGGAAGCGGCGCGGGCCAAGGGATGTGCTGGCCTCCGCTTCCCGCTGCCCCCCATTGGCCTGCGCTTGACAAGCGCAGCCAGTGGGCGGCGCGAGAGGCCAAAACCGGG